TGAGTCAACAAGGAGGTGTTATTCAACAGGGCGTTCGGCACAAGTCGTTGACTTCGAATGGATGTTGTAACGAAAAACGTGGATTGGGAGAGCTATACGTCCAAACTAAATATAACCTCCTTATCTATACGGTTATTCGGGTTTCCCTGAGGACACGAAGTCTTAAACCGTGGTGTACTTGCGTGATATACTTGTGTGTTGTACTTGCGTGATGTACTTGTGTGTTGTACTTGAGTGTTGTATTTGCGTGATGTACTTGTGTGTTGTTGCGCTTGCGTGTTGAATTTGAGTGATGTAATTGTGCGTTGCACTTGCGTGATGTACTTGTCTGTTGTACTTGCGTGATGTACTTGTCTGTTGTACTTGCGTGATGTACTTGTGTGTTGTACTTGCGTGATGTACTTGTGTGTTGTACTTGCGTGTTGAATTTGAGTGATGTACTTGCGTGTTGCACTTGCGTGATGTACTTGTGTGTTGTACTTGCGTGTTGAATTTGAGTGATGTACTTGCGTGTTGCACTTGCGTGATGTACTTGCGTGTTGTACTTGCGTGTTGAATTTTTAGTGATATACTTATGTGTTGAATTTGAGTGATGTACTTGTGTGTTGTACTTGCGTGTTGTACTTGCGTGATGTACTTGCGTGTTGCACTTGCGTGATGTACTTGTGTGTTGTACTTGCGTGTTGAATTTGATTGATATACTTGTGTGTTGAATTTGAGTGATTTACTTGTGTGTTGTACTTGCGTGATGTACTTGCGTGTTGCACTTGCGTGTTATACTTACTTGCGTGATATATGCGCGTCATTTATCTGTGAGATATAGTTTCATGACCAGGATGCTAAATGCAATGAGGATTCATGTAAATAATGCTTTTATCTAACGGGGATTACCCTTTCAAATGCCCAAATTCAGAATTTCAAGACAGATTTTGTGATGAGGGCGTAAGTTCACACGTGCACACCTTTCTCGGAATTCCCTACTTTGTAAGATAATTGCTAAATATAAAAATGGAATTTTTCAGGTTCCAAGGAGGAAATAAAATGACAATGTACATGTTCCGTAAGGTTTAATTGGTAGTTTTAGTTTACTTCTGTCTCATGTTCGTTTTGTGTTAAACATCTACTGAGCGATAGCTGTCAGGTGGATGTAACCTGGTGATGCTTCAACCGATCAATCATGGTTTACTGCTGAAGCGTATCTCCAGCTGATCCATCAACTGGCATTTGAGTTTTATAGATAGCGAAAAAAAGTGTGTCTTTTTTAAATAAAATCTTGACATATTAATGTCAGCAGGACAACTCTAGCTGAAAATGTTACTTTGTAAAGCACTTGAGATGAGATATCTGTGTAGCAAATATAAGTCAGAGACGCTACTGAAGGAGTTTGAGCGATTAAGGCATTTTGTTCTTAAAATATACATTAGGAATGATTGTAGAATGGAACCTTACGAAATATCATCATCATCATCATCATCATCATCATCATCATCATCATCATCATCATCATCGTTATTATCACATCATCACCATCGTTATTATCACATCATCATCATCATCGTCAGTATCACATCATCATCATCATTATCATCATCATCATCAGTCGGGCCGTGGGGTAGCCTGGTGGTTAAAGCGTTCAATGTGTGAAGCCCATTTGTGGTGTCCCCCGCCGTGATATAGCTGGAATATTGCATCAGTCAGTCAGAGGCCGGGTGGGTTCGGGAGAAGAGGGGGCGTACAGCAATATGAATGTGACATGTACCTGTCAAGTTGACTTGTTTATCCTACCGTGCTGGTGAGAAAACCACAGCAGTGATTCAACAACACCCACTTCTTTTGAAAGCATTAGTTACCCCATCACGTTCTGTGTGAGTCAACAAGGAGGCGTTATTCAACAGGGCGTTCGGCACAAGTCGTTGACTTCGAATGGATGTTGTAACGAAAAACGTGGATTGGGAGAGCTATACGTCCAAACTAAATATAACCTCCTTATCTATACGGTTATTCGGGTTTCCCTGAGGACACGAAGTCTTAAACCGAGCTGGATATTCTGTTTTAATTGTGTTCTATTCATAAATAATGATTGGCGTACATCAGTCCAAAACAATGTCGATGTGGCTGCACCAAAGCGGAGTCTTCATAACATTATACATTTTCAAGCAAAATCGAAATAACAACATGGTAAACAAACTTTGTAAACGTATAGTAATAAAATTCTGATACTGATAATAAGAATGTCCTAACTTTTGATGTACTTAATTACAAAAACGTCAGGCTGAAATTTATAAGGGGAAAATATATTTGTTGTTCAAAACAGATAAAGTTAAATGTAATGTATGTCATAAAGACTCCCTCTGTTCGTACTAGAAATGCCCAGAAGATGAAATGGGCGTTGTATTCGTATGTCCTCTGTATGCCAATGCGCATACCCTTTGTATTTCAACAAAGGACCAAGCCAACTATACAAAACATTACTTTACAAAGTCTTCAGAACTGTCAAATTATATGTGTAGTGAATTTAAAATTAAACTGGAAATGTGTAAGTGCAATGTACTAGAACTGTATGACATACATATATGTATGTGATAATGGTCGTATGTTCTTAAAACCAGTATATTGATTGAGCGAGTATGGGTTTACGCCGCTTTTAGCAATATTCCAGCAATATCACGGCGGGGGACACAAGAAATGGGCTTCACACATTGTACCCATGTGGGGAATCGAACCCGGGTCTTCGGCGTGACGAGCGAACGCTTTAACCACTAGGCTACCCACCGCCCTCCAATATATTGAACTGCAAAATAATAAGATACTTCATACTAAGAACGTCTACAAATTCATTGATAATAGCTTCTCTGATCCAGATTGTTATCCTTAAAGCTGTATGTGTTCCTGTTTACCACCAACTTCTGACCGCCGCCATATAGCTGGAATATTGCTGAGTGCGGCGTATAACTAAACTCACACACTCACTCACCAACAACTTCTACAATACAAACAGTTATTTAATGCAGTTATACAATAGTCGTTATAAATATTCATTTGGCGGGGGTCATAAGGTATATACACGTAAATTACTATGTAGATATCACCCCTAAATCCATTTCAAGAAACTACCACCGCTCCGATAATACACAATGTCACTTATAACTTATTCATAATTGAAATAAAAGCTTAAAAACGTTTTTATCAGCATCATTTCTCCCAAGAGTGTTCCACTTTACTTTCGAATGTATGTCAACATCGCCCCACCCCGGGGACTATATCTCACCTACATACAACGTCGACTTTTCATCATCAATGAAAGCTCTGCCCTCGGGGTCTATCCCTCACCCTCAAAGAGAGGCCAATTTGGCCATGGTTGACCCACTTAAACCTATAAGTTCTCATTGGTATTTTGTGTTTCTATTCAGACTGTTTCTTTGTCAACGTTGATTGAAAGATCTGAACAAGCACATGCAAGATGAAGGACGTGTATACCGGGGTCAGTGTGGGTAAAGGTCTGACTTACAAAACATGACCCCTGTTGCTGATCCCAGCAGACAGGAGCAACTGGTGGCATCCTCATTTAACCCTTACCCTATACTGAGGGTTTAGGTGGATATGTGGGGTACAGTTATTCTTTGGATTAGACGCCATATTGACATCAGAGAAATAGGAGACATGGCGACTCGCGAATGAAACCCCAATACTCACTTCCTGGTGTATTTTAATTAATTGACATCACACAAACATCCCTGTTGCATCACACATTCACCTTGCCCCATCACACTAAAGTCCTGCTCTTTCACACATTCACATTTCACCATCACAAACACACACAATGTTACATCACACATACATCCTGTTCTGTTACACACACACCTTGTAACCTCACATAAACATCCCTGTCACATCACACACACGCCTTGTAACATCACATAAACATCCCTGTCACATCACATAAACATCCTGTTCTGTTACACATACACCTTGTAACATCACATAAACATCCCTGTCACATCACACACACATGTACACCTTGTAACATCACATAAACATCTCAGTTCCATCACACATACACCTAGCCCATCACACAAAAGTCCTCTTCTTTCACACAAAAACACCTTTCCATCGCAAGCACACATTCTGTCATATCACACGTGACCCTGTCTCACCTCATCACCCCCAACCCATGACAACAATCTATAAAAGTATAGATAGCCCACTGGGTAACCAACTTATCAACATCATCTGTAAGTACTAAGTCTCTCCATAACAGCTCACTATACACATCTACCTCACACAGTTAATCTAGTCTTCACGGCTCACTGCGTTTCTTCAATGAGTATTGCTGAATGCTTACCCTAAAATCTAAATACGACGTTCAGAACCTATCAATATACATAAACCTGCTCCATAATTTCTCGCATCAAAGACGCTTTCTTCTTACTGACAGCCAAGACGTAGTAAAGCCTATTATTGAGATCTTTAAGTGCTACCTTCTAAGTTCTATCGCTACATCTGTCATCTGGGAAAGATTTCCGCTCATACCTCTAGGGCAAACGAAGTTAACCCTAAATAAATATTATCTTTTTATATGCTTATAGTCAAGGGTTACCGTATCTTAACATATTTACATGTGCACCTGCCTGTAATTCAACACCCAAAACACACACGTACACACACAGGCACTCACACACGGATTCTCTCTCTCTCTCTCTCTCTCTCTCTCTCTCTCTCTCTCTCTCTCTCTCTCTCTCTCTCTCTCTCTCTCTCTCTCTCTCACACACACACACACACACACGCACACACACACACACACAAATTGTTCAGGAAGATCATTTAAAAGAAAAACGAACCCATTAACAACAGCAATGGTATAGTTACATATCCATTATCTCCATCCCCAAATCGCCATCTTCCGAATGAGGACAAAAAACATCCCAGGACAGTCGGAATATTGACATAACGGACAGTGACTGTATCTGTATGTATTATCAGTGGTACGGTTGGTTACTTACATGTAGGATCAGAACCAGTAGTGTGAAAGCCACACTCCATCCACGACCGTGCTTCCTCATCTTCAGCTACTGCTGCTGCGTCTGTTATCAAGATATAGTCCGAGAGTCGGAGAGGTCCTGTATAAACCCCGAGTCACCTCCGCCACTGCTGTGTCACACCGAACAGGTAGAGAAAGTCACAACACTTTTCCAAGTCGCAGAAACTTCAGACAATGTTGCCGATTGACATCCACCCACACCTTGAGACCACGGGTCACCCCCAGGACACACGGGGGAGGGGGTCAGGTAACTAGAAGATGCTGAACAGGTAGCGAAAACACCGACGAGACAAAGCCAGCCGCGTTGCTTTCTCACGGCCCTCGGTCAATCAGCCGAATCCAGCCTGGCTCTGTTGACAGCGCTACAGCGGAGTTTACAGACTCATTTGTCACTTCCCGTCACGCTTACCACGTGACCGTGACGTCACTGTCGATAGGTAACAGAGCATGAGTCTTCGATAACCACCTGTGATAAGTGTGAGCGTCACGCTCGATTGAACGTGATTGTTGCAAGTAAACTCCACTTATGGTAAATATGACTGCCGGGCGACCCCGTTCTTTGCCAGCCTTACCCCGTGTCACAGTTTGCGTGACATGTCTCCGTCAGCATCACGTACTAACGTGTGTGACCTGGCCGCCGGTATAAGTAGTATTACTTTAAGTAGCAGACTTACAGACGTATGTCACAACATGTGACTGCCAGATGAAATATCATAAATGATTGTTTATACACAAGACACGCACTGTCAACAAATCACATGAATGTAAGCCAGTATGTCAGATCAATCGGGAACCCTTCCCACGTGTGCTACCGTGTGCTTCTTTTCCGAGTTCAGGGTTCATTATAAAATTGTAATCGTTGATCTGGATTTAGTTGATGCAGCTGCTGTGATAATTGATGACACTGCCTCCAGCAGTCTGTATGTTGTAAGGCACCGCCAAGCCTCAACCTGTCGTTTGTATGCTTGAACGGAGATGAACATATTTGTGTTTCAGGTCGATAATACGATAGCGGGCATGGATTGCACAATTAGCTGTTGGACGATTAAGGTTTAAAACAACATTAGGTGGTTGAGAACCTTAAGTCGTGCAGGTCTTAAACACGTTGATGGAAAGAGGAACAAATGGCCTTTGTGACTCTGCGTGACCTGAGAGACACGCCCGTCGCTCTCGTGTCATCCATATTCTTTTCGTTTCCTTATCCTTCTCGTGCAGTGTTCTCATTTTTGTATCGACCTTAAGCTAAACATATGTGTTGTCTATGATACATATATGTATGCATAGTACAAAGTCTCGATAACCAGTTTGCGGAAATCGATTACCAATCACTGGATTGAAGTGCAGCGTTAGACAATATGTAAATAAACAAATTAACGAACCAAGAAACAGAAAATCGGTAGCCGGTGATTGATCTGTTGTGGGTTTTATAAATAAAGTAACAGCATGTAGACTCATACATAGTTTCTGAAAAATATAATTTTGATTTCTCCATTTAAATTTAAAAGGCGTCCCAGTGAGATGAGAGATTCAGCCTGAACTCGAAGAAAATTTAGACTTTGTTTAATGTTTGGGGAAAGTAAGATAATGTGGTTCAGGGGCTATGAGGCAGAATTAACAGTTTGATAGGAACGTTCTTGCTGATGGCATCTCGCAAAACATCAAAAAATGATTAGTCTGGAATGTATATTAGAAATAACTAATGCAATCTAAACACTTAAAATGTAAGATTCTTCATTGAATAAACATACACTATGCACTGATATTTCTTAATTGATCGTGTCTACTTCTGTTGTACAGTTGGTGGTAGGATAGCCTAGTGGTTAAAGCGTCCGCGCGTCACGCCGAAGATCCAGGTTCGATTCCCCACATGGGTACAATGTGTGAAGCCCATTTCTTGTGTCCTCCCGCCGTGATATTGCTGGAATGTTGCTAAAAGCGGCGTAAAGCCATACTCACTCACTCACTCAGTTGTCGTGAGTGAGTGAGTTTAGTTTTACGCCGCACTCAGCAATATTCCAGCTATATGTCGGCGGTCTGTAAATAATTTAGTCTGGACCAGACAATCCAGTGATCAACAGCATGAACATCAATCTGCGCAATTGGGATGCGATGACATGTGTCAACCAAGTCAGCGAGCCTGACCACCCGATCCCGTTAGTCACCTCTAACGACAAGCATAGGTTACTGAAGATCAATATTCTAACCTGGACCTTCCAGTTATCGTGAAAGCCACAGTAATCCTCAATTCTGCTCACCTCTCCTCGAGACCACATTCATTGAGACTACATTCTTACAATGTCACATAAAGGCATTTCATTGTATTTAGATAATAATATTTTTAACCATCTTATATCTTTTTTTCTCCAGTGATGTCATTGTCAACACACTCTCCGTATCTGATATGTCGACACGTGATACTTGGGGTTTAAATGTTAAAAGATGTGATCTCGAATGATTCGTTATGGTTATGATTGTAACAGGTTCGTGGTGTAACATCGATCGTTCTGAGTCACTTGCTGGGAGATATCGAGAACATGTGACGCTTCTATCTGCAAAGGATGTATTTTATAACCCGAATATGTATAACTTTCCTCTGTCTTTGAACAATGTGAGGTTACCGAGAAAACTGAATAACTATCTACCTCACAGTTATGAAATGAGACTTGATTTATAGATACTCTAATAGTTTAATGTAAATTATAACGAAGTCACGTATAACTGTAATATGTACTTTCTCTGTACGTGGGCCAGTGGCTTTCAAACAAATAAAAGATTTTACTTTTTCCGACTGGACGGGTAGAAAATGAGGCATGGTCATTACAACCTCCGCTATTGTCTGTGATAAAATTCCTACCGTCTTCTTCAAACAACCCGTTGGAATACCTGTTGTTGTTGATGTTGTTGATGAGGATATTGTTGGTGTTGTTGATGATGATGATATTGTTGGTGTTGTTGATGATGATGATGATATTGTTGGTGTTGTTGATGATGATGTTGGTGTTGATGATGATATTGTTGTTGTTGATGATGTTGATGATGATGATGATATTGTTGTTGTTGTTGATGATGATGGTGATGTTGTTGATGATGTAATGATGATGATTGTTGTATTGTTTGTTGTTGATGATGATGGTATTGTTGTTGATTGTTGTTGATGATGATGGTATTGTTGTTGCTGTTGTGATGATGTTGTTGATGTTGTTGATGCACATGCTATATTTGTGATTACACTTGTTTAGTAAAGTACAGATTCTAGTACTTTGTTGGGTTGACATTGTGTGCAGTTGATTAGGTGCCTGACTCTGAGTGTGTGGGTTCGAATCCCGGATGGGACTCAACCAAAACAAAAGTACTAGAATCTATACATTACTGAGAAAGTGTAATCACAAATATAACATATGCTACATTTGACCACTTTCTAAATGGCATTGAGTAGTCGTCGTCGTTGTTGTTGTTGTTGTTGTTGTTGTTGTTGTTTTTCTCCCCCGAAAACTATTATTATGACTGTATGGTTATTGTCTTCAAGTTGATTTAATATTAGCTTTTATATGAATACAATTCTCATCTTTATAAAAATATAAGTAGAAATATTAAAATTTATATCAATGTGCTTGCACATAATATGAGATAGACACAATACTACACCTTATCACGGACAGGATAAAAATGAAAATATTATGCTACATGTTTGTTTGTTTGTTGTGTTACGCTGCGCTCTGCAATGTTCCAGCTACATAACTACAGTCTGTAAAGATTCGAGTCTGGACCACATAATCCAGTGACTGATATCATGAGCATCGACTTACGCAACTGGGATAGCAACCCTGACGATCAGATCCTGTTAGTTGCCTTAACGACAAGCATGGGGTTGCTGAAGACTAATTCTAACCCGGGTCTTTTCGGATCTTATCAGATATATGGTATTAACACGACATGATTAACACGAAAATAGTATGAGATACGTACATGTAGAAGACCAAATCGTAGACATAATCGAAACGAGAACAGTATGAAATATGTACCAATGAAACAATAAAAAAGTTACGAGACCGTATTATGGACATTATCTTAATATTTTATCTTAGCCATACTGAAAATTCACGATTACGTCTAGACATAGGTGGGTGTCTCGTATATCCTTAATATGTATGCAATATTTATATTGCCCCATAGTTACACCCCAAAGTTAGATCCTACTTAAACTAAATGACGACGCGACGAGGCAGGATTGGTATTAATTCTGAAATATGTTTAATATGACTTCTATCGCATTCCCGCTGTATTCTCTGTTTTTGTTGATGTCGATAGTAAACATTGCTACCGTCAATGTAGCCTTAATAGTAAGTAGTAATAGCTGCCACTCGGCAGATACTGTTGTGTAGTCGTGTATATTACATTCAATAAAAGTCAGTTATGAATTCAATGGCTTTGATTCCTTCGATATGGCAACCGTTGCCAAATCACAGATATCATTTAAACGTTGACAATGGAGACTGTGGGTCGCTGGCTATAAATCATAGCCCGATTGGAGGTAACTATAAATAAACGAACTGTACACGTAAGGGTTGCCCTACTTTCTGAGGCACAACCTGGACTGAATAGATGACATTTATCCAAATGTCAGTCTCAACCACTCTATATCATGTTCTTGTCCTGTCATGGTGCCTGTAGGATTCACTCTGCCTTCAATCTATCCTGTCTACCTTTTTTTGCCTTCATATTCTGCCTACATATTTTGCCTACATATTCTGCCTACATATTCTACAAAAAACTACAAAACTACATATATTTTTTCACAAACTCACTCACTCTGCCTGAAACTCATTACGCCTATATTTCGTTTAGATTACTTGGGCTCCAAGTCGTAAACATTAAATGTGAGTGAGTATTGCGTATTAAAAGTACATAAGACAGACAGAAAAAAACAATTGACATAGATCTGAGACAAATATCACTTTAATGAAACAAAACGAGAACTGACATGGTGCTGAGAAAGCATCCATGATACTCAGACCGAATCTTTGATTAGAAATCCAGTATCAGCGGATGCTGTCACAGCTAAGGGACACAATTAAGTTATTTGTCATATCAAGTCATAGCTTTCATCCGTCTGCGCCACTGATAATGAAAACGTTGAGACTGGTGCCGACAATTATTACAAAAACTGAGTGGTAAAACTATGCAGGGTCTGCCGCAAGGAAAATCTCTATGTGCCTTTTTTTCCTGTGAGATAAATATATTTTTTAGATTTATAGAGATAAATAGTGGGTATATTTCAGGACTTGTGTCACATCCTCGACTTTGCACAATATCTCGTGTCAATGTAGTTTTAGTCAGCATACTGTACATAGAAGCAGCCTGATATACATTTATAACTTGCCTTGATATATTTTCTCCT